TCTCCCAGGATCAGGACGGGAGAAGAGTAGTCAGAAACCTCCTCCATCCGCCTTTCCTTCTCTTCCTTTTTTACAGTGTATTCAGGGTAAATTGTTGGCAAAGGGGCAGCACATGCCGGGTTTTGGAATATGAAGAAATGAGAAGTAGGTGTAGGTGTTTTTTCCTGCTTGGCAAAGCTCTCCTGGGCACACAGCCGGGGTTTGGCAGTTGTCGGTAACTCACTCAACACACTCCAGCTAAATACACTTAGAGTATAAAAGGAGATCTTCCAGTAACAGCAAGTCAAGATTGAAATGGGAAAAGAAGAACTAAAGCCTTTTGGAAACAGTGGGAACATTTGGAGTGATACACTGACACCCAGTCTGTCGGTCAGAGAAGGCCAGATTTTTCTTTGTTTGTTTTGCCAAACAAACTCCTCCCGAGGAAGGGTTTTTTTCTGCACGAGGCCCCCTCTGGGCAGCCAGGTAACTGCTGCCCACAGCCCAGGCTGCGGTTGACACACACTCATTGTGACCAGCACTGCCACCCTGTCCAGCATTCTAGCTGCTCCCAGGGCAGAGTCGTTGCCCTCAGGGGAGCACGGAGAGGTGCTGTGTAGAAAGTCAGTGGTACATGAATCCATATCCTCTCCCCAGCTATGGGCTGGATCTATGCAACTAAAATAGAGTATTCAGAGAATCACAATTACAAAACTAAAAAGGGCTTTGGAGATGTGTTAGCCCAGTCTGCTCATTCACAGGTCTCGAGTCACTCAGCAAGCCCGGTAGGTGATTCAGACGGCAGCCGCTCCCTTTGTACCTGCCATTTACCTGGAATCGAAGGTCTGACACTCCAAATGGCTTGTCCTGAGTCCTGTCTGTTTTTCACAATCTCAGACTTTTACTTGTTTTCTCTTCATCATCTCAGACTTGAAATGTTCAAACTCTTCTCACTGGAATGGCCTCTGCTCCTGACCTGCCTGCTTCCATTCTCACCAGCTCCTTTCTCGGCCACACGGACTTGAGCCTGACGTTTCTCTCTTCTGGTCCAAACCCTGCCAATGGCCTGATCATTCCTGCTTCACTGTTGTTGGCACCTCCTGCCTAATGCAGAGTCCTTCATTCAGGGTTTGGGACCTCAAATTTGGATGATTCTTCCTGCTTTGCGTGCCATCAAATTTCCACCTGTTATTTCCCTGCTCTAAACATCAGGCCTCATCTGAGATATGCTCAGGCAGAATCTGTAAGATTTCCTATTAGATGTCATGCAGGTGAAGTCTAAGAGGCCCTAGGCTATGTGTGAAGGGTCTCAGCCAAGTGCTTTGTATGCATTGTTATCTTCTGATCATCACAATCCTGTGAATTAGATGCCATTCTTATTCTCCAGTGCATGGAGGTAAACTGAGGCTTAGTAACAGAAGGAAAGTTGCCAGAGGTCATAGACTGAAGTTCAGGACACTATGAGGAAATAATAAGGAAAGATCAAAAATATGAATGTGTAGTCAGGAGAGGCCACTGAGGAAATTAGGCTGAATTCTAGAGGGTGAATAAGAATCAGTCAGGCTAAAGGAAAGGGGGTGGGCATATTTTGAAGAGGTTCACAGAGTGTGTGAGGCCCCAAGTTGGGAAAGAAGTGGGAATATTTCCAGAGGAGAGAGGAGGCAGGGTGGAGGTTAGAGCGTGATGGAAAAGAACACAGTGACGTCCAGGACGGTGTGACCTGCTCAGCAATCTTGCTTTAAATTTTAGTGAGTGCTAGGGGGAGCCAGAGGGCTTTAAGTATATTTGGGGAGCAAACAGTGTCTTAATGAGCTCTCAGACCACTCCAAGGAGAATGGGGTGAAGATGGCACCACAGGATGTGGCAGCAGGATGGGCACAGGGTCCGGGTGGGAGGGGAAGTTTGACCAGGGACACGGTAGAAAGCAGGTGGAACGTTTGAGATTTCACTTGAAAATACAACTGACAGATCTTGGACTACATCTTATTATACATCTTCAATGCCAAGAGCAATGTCTGCTAGGTGGAGGCTAATAGGAGTGCTATGGCCCATCTCGGCTGACGGGTCTTCCTTCCATCTCTCCTTCCATCCCTCCTTCTTTCCTGCTTCCTTCCTCTCTCTCTCTCCTCCTCCTCCCCTGGCTCTCTCCATCTTTCCTGGTGGGGAAATGGGATTACAATTGGGAAGTCATAATAAAGTGTGCACTGGAGTCTCTCTGGAAGCTCAGTGCACACTGCTTCCTGCCCTGGGCACACAGTCGGACCTCTCAGAGTTGATCTTAGACTCCAGTGACAGCAGGTCCCAGGGAAACACCAGGTCCAGTGAAGAGCAGCTGGTGCCTTATGATATTTCCAAGGTGACAATGTGGAGAGGAAAGCACTGCGTGATCAGCTCAGCCCTGATTCCTGGTCTTAGAACAGAAGATCGTGTTGTCTGAGCTGGTCTTTGTTTGCTGAAGGGTTTGTTGTTGGCATTTGCTGCAGGGTGTTTTCACTCTTTGGTCTTGTAACACAATCTTCTATCCAGTTTCCTTGTAAAAAAAAAATAGCAGCAATACGATCAAACTACTGGAGTTGTTCCTCACCTTGTGTTTGAGGACTTGCATCTGTCCTTGTGATCCTTGCATCAACCTGTCTTCTGACCACCTTTGGGTGATACAGGATCTAGTTTTCCTACAGCATTCTGATGTTGACAGCAAGGCTGGCCTTGGCCAAGGACGAGATCCAGCCTGTGCCATGCCTCACGTAGATGTGTTGAGCTTAGGTGAAAAGTTGGGATATCAAGTGTCAGGGAAGGGCCACAACTCAACCCCCCTCCCTACATTTTGGTTTCTATGTTTAGGATAAATTATCTGATGAAGAATAAAGATTGCTTTTTTTCTTCACTTTTTTCTGTACAATTTTAGATAAAAAAAAAAACATGATCTCATTTCCTTAGACCTTCTTTTATCTTTTCTCCTCTTCATCATTTTTGAAAGAAAAACTTCTCTGTCATTTTCTAAATCTTTTATAAAACTAGTGGTGATACTGATTAGCCTTGGGCCACAGGAAGGTCAATTTGCAACTCTCGTTATTTGCTCCAGAGCCTGCCTCTCCTGGAGAGTTCCCAGTAGTATAATCGTACTAAGGAATTGCCAGGTTGTTCTGAAGATGAGCACTAGATTCTTTGATGGAGATTTCCTTTGATATTGCCTTTTAATTTGACCAGATCATTTCCTTGAGCATCAACCTGGCATTAAATGTCTACTAGGCACTCACTGATTCAAGGATAGAGTAGAGCTGTTTGGAGATCATTGATCTTTAGGTTTGAGAAAACTGGGGCCCAGAAAGATTAAGTGGCTTGTACAAGGTTTCACAGTGAAGTGGTGAGATTACTGGAGCCAGAGCCTCTGGACCCAGCTGATGGTCCATAACCACTAAACGCCACTGAACTCGGATCCACCACTAACTTCCACAGCCCCCTCCTTCTCTGTGCCCTTCTTTTCTCTTTCCTTGCAAAGACACCACTTTCCCTTTCTTCCAATTTTGTTTTCTCTTGCATTTGAGAGCACACATCAGGGATTTCTTTAGCCCTCTTCTGAATTTCTTGGTCTAAAGCTATGCTAGTGTGAAGCCAGGGTTGGGCCAGGAATTTATGAATAAATGGGTCACTGAGTCCTAAGACACCTTCTTTCTCCCTTTTCCTATATAGGTAATATGCACCCTGACCCTCTCCTCCAAATTAAAACACTCAGCCTAAGCTAAAGTGCTCCTTCCTATACAAAGCTATAAGGACATTGAGGAGATGGCCCAGACCAACCACACCTCAAGCTGGAGCCTGACCCAGAGCACAGCACAGCATGTGTGTGCATACGGGGGCTCACAAAGGACTCTGCTGAGATTTAAACAGCACATTACAAGTAACCAGTTAAAACATCTGTTAACTCACAGAATTGACAAATTATTGAGAGACACTTTCTCATCCATCATCCATTACAATATGGTAACCAGTTAAAGTACCTGTTAAGTTACAGGACTGACAAATTACTGGGAGACACTTTCTTATCCACCATCCATCACCCATTTATTTACCTCTCTACTAATCAGCCTGTCTAATTTTCTTGTCACCTCATTCTAGGAAGGGTTTGATTAGCAGGCCCTGTGGAAACATCTGGGTGGCTCTGTTTGAATGGAATTGTCTTACTGATGAAATCGTCAAACCAAATAAAACACAAAAATGTTAATATGATAACATTCATTTTATATTCAAAACTCAAGTTTTATAGTATATAAATACATATTGTTAAATATCGATAACATTTTTCCCATATGACCTTCTTCTTTTTAAATACTATAAATATAAGGTAACTCCTGCCATTTCTTTTTAATGTCTCTCTTTCTCTCCATTTTTTAATGTTGAAAGGAAGTAGTTGGCATTACCCTCACACATGCACATACACACCTCTACAAGCGTGTGTGTGTACACATATACATTCACGCACACATACAGTAGAACCTCTGTAAGTTGCCCACCCAAGGGACTGTGACAAACTGGTTTATATTTGGAGGTGGTCAACGTAAGGAAGTAGGCCTACTGTGCTGGTAAGTACATGGGGCGCATGTCTGGTTTATGAAAATGAGGTGGTGGTCAACGATGGAGGTTCTATTATGTATAGAAGCCCATATACATATATATAACATGCTTTACACATGTGTGTGTATATGTACATACATATTAGGGTGCCAATATCAGAGAGATAGCGACTGTTCTCTTGGTAGCCAGTGGGAATTGCTTTATCATAAAAACCAGAAAGCCCCAGACGATTTACTTTATTTCCACATTGACTATAAAATCACAAAGATTTTTTTTCCTGCTAAAACGAGGTATGATCAAGAACAAACACATCACTCACACATCACATGTGAAACAGCAGACACATAACAGGCCTGTGTGACCCCAGGGCGTTTGGACAGCTCCTTGGATTGTAGCACAAATAGCCAGTCAAGCTTCCCCATGCCTGAAGCCAGCCCGCTGCGCCTTACCTTGCAGGGCCTGCAGCCTGTGCGTCTGCACGATGATGCACAGCTGCAGCACCAGCTGCGGGGCACTCTCCAGGAAGGTGGCCAGCAGGTGCAGCATGCTCACGTCCGCGCACTCGTACACCATCCTCCAGTGGAACCGCCACCTGTCGCTCTCCCCGCTCTGTCGGCTTCGAATGCCTAGGTAGATTGTGTGGAAATATCTGGAAGGAAAACATGGAGAAGAAGAAAGAGATGAGCAATCATTTATGATTCAAACTTCAGGGCTGTTTTTCTTTTCTGCAAGCCGCCCTATGCAGGCAGCCCGAGGAAGAATCTTGGTGGCTTGTGGCTGAAAGGCCAGAGTGGACTGTGTAAGCGCTCTTGTGCTCAGACGCTCACTCCGAGAAGTCCCTGACTTTGGTCTTCATCAAAGGCACTCTGTTGAATTACAGTATGAAGAAAGGTAAGGCGAGCATGACGGAAACTCAGATGGAGAAGGGACTGGTCACTTTAAGAACCTACAAACATCCTTTTCTGTCAGTTCCTCCCCATGCCCAGCAGCACTTCTGAGGCGGACTTCTCCCAAACACCATGCCAAGTGTGAAGTTGTGACATATATGTACTTGTAAACCTGCCTGCGTCTTAAAAAAAAATCACTTTTTAAAATAGTTTCAGTAATTATTTTAAATTTTTTCCCCTATTTTTACAAATGGGGAACACATCTGATATTTTCCAAAAGCATTTGACACTATGTTGCAGAAAAGATACTCTTCCCTCTTCTTCTTTTATTTCAGGGAAATATGAGGGTACATATGATAAGGTTACATAAGTTGCTTTTGTAAGATTGAAGTCCAGTTTTAGTTGTGTCCTTTACCCAATTTGTTACTGAAAATTTCAGACATACAGAAAAAGAGAAGAGAGTAATGACTCCATTCTACCCTTGGCCAGATTGAGTCTAGTAGCGCAGTAGTAAGGGGCGCCGATCCCCTGTGCAGCTGAAAATCGGTGTATCGCTTTGACTCCATAGATACCTACCTACCAATAGCCTAGTGCTGACTGGAGCCTCAGTGATGACACCTGGCACTGGCAATAAGGAAGGTATAGAAAGGAAAATGTTATGAAGCTCCTAAGTAAGAGAAAATCCTGTCTATTTACTATCATCATAAGTTCTTCACCCTTGCCTTCATGTTGAGCAGACTGAGGAGGAGAAGGAAGAGAAGGAGGGTTTGGTCTTGTTGTCTTGGGCAGGGAAGAGGCTGATTTTAATCTGATACCTATACATGGACTCAGGAAGTTCAAGCTCATGTCGCTTAAGGGTCAGCTGTACTCACTGATATGTTGCCAGTCATTTTCATTTATTCCTCTGCTTACTCCCTGCCACCAGATTATTCTGAAGCAGATCCAGGGATTACATTATTTCATCAGTAAATATTTTATTAAAAATAACTTTAAAGCCAATGCCACTATCACATTCACCAATAATTACAATAATCTCTCATGTTACCAAATACTCAATGTTCATATTTTCCTGACAGGTGTAATTTTTTAACAGTTTGAAATGCAATTCAAACAGGGTCCACACATGATGCTTATTTAATATATATCTTAAGTGTCTTTTACACTGTGGGTTCCCCTTCAATTTCTTTTTTTTATTTCCTGCATAGTGTCTTGATTTTAATGGTTGCGTCTGCCTTGTGTGGTTAAGATAGCCATCCTTTGTTTTCTGCAAAGGGGTAGTTAGCGTTACGATTTTGACCAGATGCAAGTTTGATGACTTAGGGTGGGTGATGTGTGTTTTCAGTGGGAGGCAAATGGTGATTCGTTCTTCTCTTTTATGATGTTACCATGTGGTGACAGTGTTGCCATCAGAGCCCATTGTCCTTCTGACCAGTTATTTATTAGCCCCCTAGTCACTGTCTCTGCACTTTTTGGTTGTCTGAAGCTTGCTTACTAGTAGATCCCTCAAGAAAGGGATGATATTCCCTGAGTTCTTATGTATCTGTAGCACACGTAGTTACCAGTCTTGCACTTGGTGGGGATAATGTTCCTCGAGTTATGCAGACCATCAAGTTGTAGTTTGTAGTTGGAGGTTGTGGCACACGTTGAAAGTCTGTGACTTAACTGCATTTATCCAGTGAAAGATTTTAGATGCCAAGAGTAAGGACGGCAGGGATACAGTACGGATGCGTAACAGCAGGAGAGCCTGGGCAACCTTTTCACTGAAAGGTCAGGTTAGAAGGATGTAGAATATTGTCTATTCCATGCAAGATCCAAGATCTTCAATTTATTTATTTGAGCATTTTAAATCTGTCACTTCATTGTTAAAGGCATAAAGTGCTGTCATAGAAAAGTATGATAGAAATCTTATATTCTTTCTCTTACAAGCTTCTTGATCATTTTGCCTGGATGCCCAAAGAATATTTTGTTTCTTTTCAGAGAGCTATAGTTTTACTAGAATGCCTCTTGATACTGGCTGTCCTGCCTCATATTTTTTAGGGATGTGGTCTGCTTCTTTACTTCGTAGCATCAAGTTTCAAAATGTAGTTTTAAGTTTCTTCAATGACAATGTTTAGTATTTTTTTCTAATCTATTGCTTTGTTTTTCATCAAGGATTCATTTATTACATATGTTGTATTTTCCTTACCTTCTGTCTCCATCAACTTCTTTGAATCCTTCTCCTTTCAAATTTATTTATTTTTGAGACAGGTTCCCACTCTGCTGTCTGGGCTAAAGTGTAGAGGCATCATCACAGCTCATTGTAGCCTCACACTCTTGAGCTCAAGCCATCCTCCTATCTCTCTAATAGCTGAGACTACAGCCATGAGCCACCATATGCAACTAATTTTTCTGTGTTTTTTTTTTTTCTTTGTAGAGATGGGGTGATACTGTGTTACCCAGGCTGATCTTGAACACCTGGCTTCAAGTAGATCCTCCTGTCTCAGCCTTCCAAAGTACCAGGATTATAGGTGTGAGCCACAATACCCAACCCTCAAATTTCTTTTTGATATATTTTTTTACTTTTTAAAGTCTTTTATTTATCTCCTAACTAGTTTTTATTTCTGACCTGATTTTTCTTTTAATTACAATTCTATACTGAGTTCTACCATTCTGCCTGTTAAATATTTCTTTTATTCACTCACTTCTTTTCCCATTTTTTTTCTAATTTTCATTTACATTGTCTTTTATCGATTTTATAATTTTAACTATTTCAGTTTGTTTTGAAATATTTGCTTGTGGTTGTTATCTGTTTTGTGCATGTGTTTTTCTGTATGCTTTCATGGTCTATAGTAATATCATTAGTTTTCTTATTCTCTTTTCCTTGTAATAATTCGATCCTTCTCTTGCTGCTGAGTTTCAAAAGTTAATTTAGTTTTCATGGACTTTTAGGCAGGATGAGTGGGCCAGGACAGCTGGGCTGCCTTCACAGTTTGAGAGCACATTCTTCTGTTTTTCATGAAGTGAAAAAAACACACTTGTTACTGTCTGATATCATCTGCTTCTGTTCCTGGTCCCCTTCCCTTTTAGTTAGACCTACTTTTTCCTGTTTTGTGGTTGTTGCTGCCATGCTTAGTTTGGAATCTATTCCTGGCAGATGTGGATCTTTGTCATGGTAGGGGCTCCGGTTTGTTGGTTAATGAGATTAAAAGGCCCAGACTGTGCCAATGGCTGCACTGTAGACCCCTGGGACTCACTGGGACACCCTCCCAGTCTCTCCCTCCCTCTGAGCTTGGTCTACTGCCCCTCCCTGTGAGACCCTGGTGGGAATTGGGAGGGTTTCTGCTCTCAAGGTCTTCCCTCTATTTTTCCCTGCATGGTTGTTGACATCACATGGCTTTTAGAAGCTGTTGCTACTTTGTCCACACTAATTGTAAGGATATTTCAACCCCCATAATTTCAGATATTGTCCGTGATTCTTCACTTTTCCAACTTAGTTGTTCTACCTATTGTAATGGGATAATTTTGTAGATTAAGCAACCGTGTTGACACTGCTATGGTATTTGAAGGACACTAACATTTTAAAGCACACAATGGATTTAATCATCCCCTGGGCCTTTGGCTGCTCTGTGCCAACTCTGCGGTGAAGGTGGGGACGGTGCGGTGGACAGAGATGCCAAGAGCAGCTCTCCGAGCTCCCTGCCCATGCCTCGGCAGCCACTTGTGATGAGGTGAGTGCATCTACTGGGGTTTCCTTTCTTACACAAGGAATAAGAGATGCCCATCTGCAGACTTTCTTGGAGTAGCTCTAAATGGCCTTTCCTGCTTCTTTGACTGGCAAACTCACTTCTAAACACACACTCTCCGGGCACTCATCCCCGGTGGTCCCTCAGCACTCCACCCTCCGCTTCACCTGTGTGTTTGTTTCCCAGGCTTAAGGTTCCTTAAACTGTGGGCTAAATAGTAGATAATTATTATTGCCCAGATCTGAAGGCAGGAAGTCTGAGATCAAGGAATCAGCAGGGTTGGTTCTTTTTGAAACCTGTGAGGAAGACTCTGTTCTGTTGTTATGTCCAATGGAGAATAAACAGGTGGCAAGGAAGGGGCTGAGGGTGCAGAGTGGAACTGAATTGTAAGTAAGAACCAAATTGAAGCTGGGAAATGTTCCCTAGTGGGAGCATAGATAGTAAAAGTTCCTAGTGACCTGTAACTCACTGAGAGCTCATTGCCATCTAATTAGACCTGTGATATACAACTCCAACCTGTCAATCACTCCAAAGGCAGAGACAACAACCAGTCCTGCCTGAAGAAAGGTGGGATAAACTCCTAAGCTTCTAACAGGCAGCCTGTGCTCAGACTCTGGGTCTCTCCACTCCTGGAGACTGACCCTTTCTCTCTCTCTCTACTAAATTTGCACTTTGTGTAGCTTCTTTTTTTTTTTTACTTCTATTCTTTCTTTTACGTGATAAACTGTATACAATTGCTTGGTGTCTGTGATCACTCTGTCATCGGCCTGACTGTACAGGAGCTCATTCTTAATGCTGGAGGGCCCTGGGCTCGCCACTATACCCCAGCCTGGCCCTCAGGGGGCCGGGGGAACATCCACCTCCAGACAGACCCAACCCTGGGCCTCCCTCCTGCAGTTTCTGGTGTTTGCTGGCAATCTTCGGCATTCCTTGGCTTGCCTTCCATCTCTGCCTTCCTCTTCACATGGACTTCTTCCTGCCTGCCTGCCTGTTTTTGCACTTGAACGTCTCCTTTACATAACCACTGAGTCATGTTGGAG